AGAAGTTGCAGCAACGATTAGCGATGGAGCGCTATCGCGCCTCGAGCGACTGAATCGCTTGAGTCGTGAAGTATAAACGCAACCCTACATCGTACTTATCTTGGTGTCCGAACGGTAATTTCTTGGTAAATGGAGTGTAGAGGCTGCTGTGAGCGCGCTGGACAGCGCCATGTGGCGACGCGGCGGAGTCCTGCGATAGGACCGCACACAGATTCCGCCCATTTGCGCTCCTCTGATGGTATGAACGCGTACATACTTCGCTATCGCACGATCGGATCGCTCGATTGGATCGCGCGATCGCGAAGTATGCACTCGCTCTAAAAAGAAAAACATGCGCTTCAGTAGAAAACAGACCAGTTCGCCGAGACGTCGCGTGATCTCCTTCACTACAGCAGGCTCAAATCTGTGCAAAGCAGCGAGATCCTTGTTATGGCGGCGGAAGTACGACTGCCAAGTTCCCTATCCAGTCAGACAACCTACATAAATGTCACCAACCCTACTTTCAATTTTTTCAAAATCCTGTCGTTTTAATCAGGAAAAATCTTCTGCACGACCGGAAAATTTGACCTTGAGGCCAAATACGTACCCGTCGTCAGCCACCAATCGCGGCTACCCTTGCCAACGACCAAAGGAGACCCACTGATAGGTTTCGCAGAACGATACTGTGCCCTGAGATGAGTTCCGATAGCGAAAGCAAGTCAATTCCAAAGTTCTTCAGAAAAAAGTCCGCCACCGAACAACGGCACGGAGAAACTCCCTGTGACAATTGCTACGTCTTCTTTGATCCCTTTCTTATTTAGGTGACCAACCACATATATCCAACATTGCATCACGAGCCAACCATTCACAAATCACCGTCAGTCAGGTCGAGCAGCGCTCGAGGTAGTCCAGCGCTAGTTCCTCATGCAGGGTCGAAAAAGAAGGCATCCGTTGGGTCCGCGTCAATAGATAGCGTTATGGTGAGTTTGATTTACGAATAATTGTAATCTCCGTAAAGAGGAAATATAAGTAGAAAACTAGTAAAAGCTCCAGTATGGGTCATAAAGGTCATTTTCAGATCCAAACCCGCATCGTATTCCAACCGTCCACGGCGTTTCTCTTGGGATGTCCACTCGGTCTAGTGCTCACCCAAAGAAAGCTGCAAGGATACGGTGATTGTTAGCCTATAAGGGTAAACGATTACATGATGCTTATACAACTCATTCAAGACATTGAGCCACTGGATTTATGCCAAGTATTTAACCTCTACTACCCGCTTGATCCATGCGGTGCTAGGATGGAACCAGTTCTGAATTCGCATCTCAGTCTTCTTCAGCCTGCCAATGTTCCGAGGTTAGTATCTTCAAGAATGGAATTCAAATTCTGGAAACAGTAATAGTTCAAAGAGGGCAGACAAACAATTTTAGTAAACACTCAGTGCATATGAATTAAATGGATGATTTCTCGAGTTCTGATTGCTCTTCGATTTCAAGGAGAAGTAGGACGCGTGGCGCATCTCAAAGACTGCTCAAAGGCAGTTGGCACGATGGTTTCCCACTTGGCCTAAAATGCTAGTAGGGCGCTATCCGGCGAAGAAAAAGCCTCCGTTCTCAGTGACTTGAAAATCGATTTCGGACGAGTTTCCCGTAGGCATCTTGCCAATCACCGCTACCGAAGATACGGCTGCATATGTGTACCCATATATGCATGCAGCATCACGGCCGCTTCATACCAATCCCTTTGCTTCATAATTTGCTCAGCAAATGAATGAATACGAGCGTCAGGAACGGTTTTGTGGGCGGGCGGGCGAGGAAGGCGTTTGGGACGGAATGTTGTTGCTCGATAGGGCGTTATAGGGGTACCCTCCTTGGAAAAGGCGCCA